AGTAACTTTGTGGACCCCACCCTCAGTCCTTATTCTTTATCCACAGGTACCTCTGATCTTTTGTTGTAGTGACCAATTTTTCATTTGTTTGCTATTTTATTACCTTCCTTACTTGGTGAAGAAGATTATGGTCCCTGCTTGCTTTCCATGAGTTATGATTTTTGTCCAGAGCAGTGGATCCAACATAGGTAAAAAGTAAGAGTTTTCTTACCTTTAACTTTGATTTCTTCTAATATGGAGCCACTACTCTGGGCAGACTCACCTTGTGCTTATTTAGTGTTTTATTAATTTCTGAGCTTGTCACAGGCTTGTCTTTTACATTCTTTCATGCAAGGTTGAAAGGGAAAGGGAAACAAGTTCTCAGAATGTCAGTGACACTGCGGCAAACTGTATTGGTGATAGAACTATCATGTTAGGTTGCATTAAATCTATCACCATCTATAAGTTAATTGTGTATAGCTTCACTTCAGAGTTGATATAACGGCTTTGGAGCTTTCTGTTTTCTGAACTTTGGAATTTCTTACCTGGGAATAACATATCAGTTCAAACATGCCAGCAGTGGATTCTAACCCCCTAAGGAAGAAAGAAGAAAAAAATCAAAAAAGAACTCTGCAGAGTTCTAATCAATTGGATTGGACAAGAACATTCTTGGGTTATATATTCTATCCAGAGCAGTAGATTCTACTAGGAGTAATCAAAATTGCAATGGTGAAAACTAATTTTATCTTTCAGAGTGGCTTGAAGAGAAGTGTTCCCTTACTAACCAAGGACTGCTTTCTGTCAGTGCACATCACTGGGACAAAACAACTAATTCTCATTTCTCACCTGAAAAGAAGAGCCCATTCTCTCCATTACATTTGAGAGCTGCACCTCATGTTAACATACATGATACAAATACATCTGTTGAATGGCTAACAAGACAGGAAAAACAGCACAGTGAGACAGAAGGACCAATGCATTTCTTATATCAAGAAAAGAAAAACAAAGATTTGTCTGACTCACTTAACTGTAAAGAAGTATCTTTTGAACCAAACAGCTCAACAAAAAGCCAGAAGACTCCACCATTCGAACAGTCTAGACAATGTGGTGATGATTCTGACCTTCTGAGCAGTTTTATCATGCTAAGATCTAAACACGTGTTCATCCAAAATGAGGAAAAAAATAATGTGGATAGGCAGAAAGATGGTAGGTGAACCATTCTGTCCTGTAATTTTAGGTCTAATTCTGCTCTCTTACACTGCTGTAAATCAAGTATAACTCCATTCAAGTCAATAGAATTAATTACATGGGGTGAAATCCTGGTCCCATTGACTTGAGTGGATCCAGTATTTCATCTATGGTATTTACTTTCTATTTTTCTTTTTAGTTGTTTTGTTAGACAGTGTGCATTAAAGTTTGGTTCCACTCTGAAAGGAAAATGTAAAAATGGTACCCTCTGACTCAGACTGTCTGCTCCCCTGGCATGTTCTGAGTCTAGTCTGCTGATTTTTGTGACAAAAGTCAGTTTCTATTGCTTACTACTCTTGTTAGTCCTGCAGAGCTAGCACAGTTAAGAGGGAACTACAGTCTGTTTCTTCTTATCCCAGCAGAACCATTCCAATTAGTTACACCTGTGCAAACCCAGTGATGCAATGAGGCTGAACAGTTGTCTGTGAAGACAGAATATGGTTTGAAGATCTGTTATCACTGCTGATGATGTGCGAGAAGAAAACTTAGCTTACAGACTGAGTATGCAGGACTGGCACTTAGAAAAAAAATTACTTATAAAACCATCTTTGCTACAGAAATCATTGTGAGACAATGAAATGTTAGCTCAGTCACTTTTCAGAGTAGAGTCACGGTAAAAAATAAAATGCTGCAGGACCCAGACCCTGGTTAGCAGAGCTTCAACACAGATTATGCATGAGTTATATATACCCTTGGAAAATAAGTTTGTAATGTAGACACTGTTGCAGCACTAATTATAATAGCATGAAGTGGTGCTATGTAACAGATTAATATGGATTTTAATTGTATCCTGACATAATTTCAAAATAACAATTATTTGCAAGACATTTTAATAAAATTTAAAAAAATAAAACCATTTATTATTGTTTTATGTTGATACACATGCAGATCTTGAGAAATTGATAACCCCAGTTCTAAAAGTACAAACTCAAGACATGTGAACTAAGGTCTTATGTTACCATCTAGTGAACTCTAACTAGAAGTGCATCTCTGAGCAGTACTATGGATAGAGGCATAGTTAAATATAGTGTAAACAAGTAAATGTATACAAAAAAAATGAGGAGTCCTTGTGGCACCTTAGAGACTAACAAATTTATTTGGGCATAAGCTTTCGTGGGCTAGAACCCACTTCATCAGAAGTATGAAGTAAAAAATACAGGAGCAGGTATAAATTCATGAAAGAATGGGGGTGCTTTATCAAGTGTTAGGTCAGTCTAACAAGATAAATCAATTATCAGTAGGATATCAAGGGAGGAAAAATAACTTTTGAAGTGGTAAGAGAGTGGCCCATTACAGACAGTTGACCGTGTGAGTAACAGTAGGAAGAAATTAGTATTGGGGAAATTAAGTTTAGGTTTTGTAATGACCCAACCACTCCCAGTCTTTATTCAGGCCTAACCTGATGGTATCTAGTTTGCAAATTAATTCCAGTTCTGCAGCTTCACGTTGGAGTCTGTTTTTGAAGTTTTTTTGTTGAAGAATTGCCACTTTGAGGTCTGTTATTGAGTGACCAGAGAGATTGAAGTGTTCTCCTATGGGTTTTTGAATGTTATGATTCCTGATGTCAGATTTGTGTCCATTTATTCTTTTGCGTAGAGACTGTCCTGTTTGGTCAATGTACATGGCAGAGGGGCATTGCTGGCACATGATGGCATATATCACATTGGTAGATGTGCAGGTGAACGAGCCTCTGATGGTGTGGCTGATGCAGTTAGGTCCTCTGATGGTGTCCCTTGAATAGATATGTGGACAGAGTTGGTACCGGGGTTTATAGCAGAGTTTCGTTCCTGGGCTGGTGTTTTTGTTGTGTGGTGTGTAGTTGCTGGTGAGTATTTGCTTCAGGTTGGGGGGCTGTCTGTAAGCGAGGATTGGTCTGTCTCCCAAGGTCTGTGAGAGTGAGGGATCATCCTTCAGGATAGGTTGTAGATCCTTGATGATGCGCTGGAGAGGTTTTAGTTGGGGGCTGTAGGTGACGGCTAGTGGCACTCTGTTACTTTCTTTGTTGGGCCTGTCTTGTAATAGGTGACTTCTCGGTACCCTTCTGGCTCTGTCAATCTGTTTCTTCACTTCACCAGGTGGGTACTGCAGTTTTAAGAACACTTAATAGAGATTCTGTAGGTGTTTGTCTGTCTCTGCCTGAGGGATTGAAGCAAATGCGGTTGTAACTTAGGGAATGTCCAGACTACCCGCCGGATCGGCGGGTAGCGATCGATCTATCGGGGATCGATATATCGCGTCTCGTCTAGACGCGATATATCGATCCCCGAACGCGCTCCCATCGACTCTGGAACTCCACCAGGGCAAGCGGCGGTAGCTGAGTCGACGGGGGAGCCGTGGCCGTCGATCCCGCACCGTGAGGACGGGAGGTAAGTCGAAATAAGATATATCGACTTCAGCTGTGCTATTCCCGTAGCTGAAGTTGCGTATCTTACATCGACACTCCCCCACCCCAGTGTAGACCAGGCCTTAGAGCTTGACTGTAGACAATGACTGATAAATGCTTAACCTATCCAAACATATGTAGATTTTATGTCAATTCCTTCTAAAGTATGGTTCCAATTTTAGCTGAAGGCCTATTGTCTCCCAATAAATTACAGTGCTGCTGTGGGTTATTTTTATAGACACCAGTTATATGTACTATTTAACCCAATTAGTATTTAGGAGAGAACTAGTAAAAGTAATTGGTTAGCATAATTTTGAACCTTAATAAACTTCAAATTCAGTAGGCTCCTGGACAGTAAAATACGAACTTTGGCTTTTAACTTTGGGGGATGGAAAGTTTTTTACTTTTCCCTCTTTATTTCGCCCAAGTACCTCATATTCACAGCTGCAGCCGTATGACATAGGGATCAATCCACTTTGTCAAGAAGTGGGGGCTGCTAGCGCCAAATGTGATCAGCAGCAGCTGGAGGGAATCTGCCAGGACGAGGAGAACAGAGATGCTGGGGCACCCTTAGGATAGCTTGTGACTTCTTATTTGTATTGGAGAAGGAGAAAAAAAAAACACAGAAGGGATAGATGCTGAGGTGCAGCTACAAGTAAAGATGAAGGGAGTGAGAATGACCTCTTAAGTAAACTGTTTCCAGCCCTTCTCTTACTTACCCTATTTCCAGTGTTCCTGATCTCTCCAGCTCACTGGTGACCCCATCAGCCTCCACCCTCTTTCCCTGAGCAGTTTCTCTTTCTTAGTCCAATTGAATTCCTGCTCTCAGATGCTCTTCCACTCAGCAGTTTCCCTGCCTTAATGCTCATGTAGGAATCTCCCTTTATACAAACAATAGGGCTATAGAAGCAGCTCCCAGCAGTTTCTCAACTTTGCCAGGATACGGATCTCCATCTCAGAGGGAAGGTGGCTGATTCCATTCAGACCTGACAGCACCCACTTTTTGGCAAACATAATCTGACCAATGTATCATGTGACTGCAGTGAGGCAGTGTGGGAACTTGGAGGAAATAAAGAAAAAATAAAATATTTTCACTTTCTTTTTCCAAAGTAAAATATACAATTATTTTTCTGTGGCACAGGAGCCTCCTGAATTTGAAATGTTTAATTAGCCAGTGGAGGGACGTGTTAGAAAATTTATTTATTCCGTGGACTTGTCTTGTGATAATTTTATATAATCTATGTCCAATGTTTTAGCACTGGAAATTAAAGTGTGTCCAGAAGTTCTTAAACAAGACAGTCCTGCTGTTTGTAAGGCTACATTGACAGAGAAAACAGAACAGGAGAATCAAGGCAGCATCTCAGTCAAAATTCAAGCATCAGGTATAGAATTTTGCTTTGAATGGTCTGTTTATTTTTTTTGTAATATTGCAATTTTACACTAAATAATATCCATCCATACAAAACCAATATCCATTTTATTCTCTGCTCTCTACGGCTCTTATCCTGCAAAAATTCAATATGGGAACCCTTATGCCCATGCAGACTGTCGTATAACAATCCCTATATTTCACCATAGTAGCATCATATGTGAAAGAATTAAGAGATTCTCAGTCAGATATAAGCTATATCCAATATTGAGAACTTAAAGACAAACACAAATATTTAACAGGAGTGAAATATTAACAATATCTTATGATTCCTTACTGGAAATATTAAGCACTTTAAAAAGAAAATGATTCATCAATAAATGAATGAATGAATGAAATTACACTGAATAGCAAAAACAATATAGTATATGAGCTATCCTGACAAAGAATGCAGAACTGGAGATGATGAGAATGAGAACTTACATAGTGCTCCACATCTTCAAAGTACTTTACAAATATTAACTAATTAGTTAATAATTATGAGGGCATAAATGACCAAATGTAGTGAGACCCGCAACTGAAATGCAGCCCAGTCTGGCAACCTTACCTGTCAGCTTGAGATATTTTAAAAATGAAATGATAAACCCTTGAACATAGGGGATAATAGAGTTTTAACCTTGATGATGTGATTAACTCAACTGTAATGTTAAGCACATAAAAGAAAAAATTGATATTCAAGAGATTTAGGTATCCCATCGAGAAATAGGTATCCCATCGTGCCTTCCAGTTAATTAAATAGCAGCAGTATATTTGAGTTCTTCAGACTACTGTGTTGCTGTCACCTACTTGGATGTCATGAAAACTCAGTTATATCTGAAGGTATGTCTACATTATGGAGACTGTGCTGGCACAGCTATGCCACCACAGCCATGTAATGTAGATACAGCCTACACCAACAAAAGGGTTTTTTCTATTCATATTGGAATACCACCTCCCCAAATGATGGTATCTACATTGACTGAAGCGTTCTTTTGTCAATACAGCCGCATCTACACTGGCAGTGGGGTTGATATAGCTACGTTGGTCAAGGAGTGGATTTTTTACACCAACATAGCTATGTTGACTTAACTTTTACATGTAGATAAAGCCTTAGGTCTGGTCTACACTCCTGAGCAACATAGTTATACCAACCTAACCTCCAGTGTAGACAGAGCTTCTCCCGTCAGACCAGGGCCGGCTCCAGGCACCAGCCCACCAAGCTTGTGCTTGGGGCGGCACCTGGAGGGGGGCGGCGCTCCGGCCACCGGGGAGAGCGGGGCCACGGCCGGGGTAGCTGCCCTCCCCCCGGCGCTCTGGCCGCCCTCCCCCCTGGTGCCCTCCCCCCGGCCGCCGGGGGGAGAGCGGAGCCCCCCGGGGGGCGCGCCGCCCTCCTCCCAGGGCTCCGGCCGCCCTCCCCCCCGGCGCCCTCCCCCCGGCTGCCAGGGGGAGAGCGGAGCCCCCGCCGGGGCTCACCGCACTCCTCCCAGGGCTCTGGCCGCCGGGGGGAGAGCGGAGCCCCCGCCGGGGCTCGCCGCCCTCCCCCCGGGGCTCTGGCCACCCTCCCCCACCCCCGCAGGGGGGGAGGGCGGCCGGAGGCTTTTTTGCCTGAGGCGGCAAAAAAGCCAGAGCCGGCCCTGCGTCAGACATAACTATTGCCTCTCGGGAGGTGGATTAATTACACCAATGGGAGAGCGGTCTCCTGTCGGCTTAGAGCATCTTCATTAAAGTGCTACAGTGGCACAGCTGCATCGGTTGAGAGTTTTAAGTGTAGGCCTGCCCTTAGAAGGGGTTACAAAACAGCCATCCAGCAGTTATTAAGAATTACTAACATGAAGAGAATGAAGTTCATGTTGCAGATCTCTTGAAGAAAAGAATGCTTTTTTGTTTTGCAACACACTTGAGGACTTTTATCCAACAGTGGCATATTTAACCAAATCGTGTTATCTTGTGTGTGTTTGTATTAACCAGAAAGCCAGTGCCAGGCATACCATCTGTTAGAAGCAACAGCCACTCCTGTTCTAAAAGAGTTGATGCATCTTGGCATACTTGCTGCAGTGAATTGGAGCTTTGCCACTGTTAAATTTGATCACACTAGATTTTTCTTAAAACAGCAGGAGAAAGTGATCTGTGATATTTTTAAACAAGGTAAAATACATTGTATTTTTCATCTATAAAATTGATTTTATTTGTAACGTGCGGTTCAATAAGTTTGGCAAATTATTCACAAACTTCCAAGCGTTTCCCATCTTAAGGGCTGATGGTAACAGACCTGCTTTTTTGTTTCCAAAAGGTCTCCATTAATACAGTCCTAGTTAGGGCGTGTTATTTTTAATAACCTGAATATCAGAATACTAAAAAGTATTCAAATCCAAATCTAAATTTCACATGCTTCAGAAATGTTGGTCATGATTAATCATACATTGTAGGCAATGTTTAAATGACATTCCCACATGTGTAATTTACAGAGAAAAACACCAGTATGTTTTTGTTGTCTTTTTCTTTGTGGTCAGTGGCTGTTTTTGTCATATCCCTGTCATGGAGTTCAGGGTATACTCCAGTCCAGGAAGGGTCACCTCTTAACCCTGTAACCCTGAGTGTCTCACAATACTTTGCTACTGTAGCTCCCAGCATGGGACACTCACAGTCAGCAACAAACATGCAGGTCACAGCCTGAGTGTCTGTGTGCTATACAGCCAATGCTGGTTCAGAAACTCTGACGCCAGCAGTCAGTCTACAGCCTTACAGCCCCACTCTGGCTTCCACAGCCTTGATTACAACGAGCAAGGTGGCCCCAACACACTCCCAGTCCCGAATTTTCCCAAGGCCTTGTGTTCTGCAATGTCCAGCCCTCTCCTGGACATATCAGAGAAATAAGAAATTCAGTTGTATGTCTTAACACTACATAAGGAATTATGAATGCTTATTTGGGTCACAGACTGTAAAGCGTAATATTAATAAGTATTCATAATTCCTTATAAGGTGTTAATACATACAATTCACAATGATATTAATAAAAGATCTCATGCAATAGCCTGTTATAATACAGTAATATTGTATACAATCTGGTCTATATTACAGACCTATATTGATATAACTACATCGCTCAGGGGTGTGAAAAATCCACAACCCTGAACAACGTAGTTATACTGACCTAACCCACTGTGTGCACAGCGCTATGTCAGCGGGAGAGCTTCTCCCACCAACATAGCTACCACCTCTTGGGGTTAATTAGGCCGACGGGAGAGCTGTCTCCTGTCAGCTTAGAGCATCTTCATTAAAGCGCTACAGTGGCACAGCTGCATTGGTGCAGTTGTACCAATGCAGCACTTTAAGTGTATACTTGCCCTCAGTTGATTCAATTGTTTATCACTTGAAGTTCAGCCCCCTCCCCTCATCTTTGTAGACCAATAGGTCTACACTACACACTTACTTCGGTGGTAAAAAATCCACACCCCTGAGTGATATAGTTATACCGACCTTAACTCCCTGTGTAGACAGCGCTATGTCAGTGTGAGCGCTTCTCCCGCAGAGGTAGAGTAACGAAGCCAATGGGAGAACTTTCCCCCATCAACTTAGAGCAGGGGTGGGAAAACTTTTTGGCCCGAGGGCCACATCGGGGTTCCGAAACTGTATGGAGGGCTGGGTAGGGAAGGCTGTACCTCCCCAAACAGCCTGGCCCCTGCCCTATCTGACCCCTCCCACTTCCCACCTCCCTCAGAACCCCCGACCCATCCAACCCCCCCTGCTCCTTGTCCCCTAACCGCCCTCTCCTGGGAGCCGCATATTAACTTCTGAAGAACCGCATGTGGTTCCGGAGCCACAGGTTGGCCACCCCTGCTTAAGAGTCTTCAATTTAATTCAAGATTAATTCAAAGGTGTTTATATATTATGAAAGACAGATGATTTCAGAAATTTAGCAGGACCCAGGAAATCTGATACTATGGTCCAGCCTAACCATGGTGCTCCCACTTATGGGCTCTGCTCTCTCACTGGTTTGTAATGATATGCTACAATCCACATGACAGCTAGAACCATTGCCTTATCTGTGTCAGTAAAGAGGTTCCTCTGGCTAAAATAGTGGGCAGTGGAACAATCCTTAAGGGCCAGGCTGCCGGTCCTTCCCTTTAAAGACAGGCTATTCTTTCGGGAAGATTTGGAGAAGATTTAGCAGTCCCTGTCTGCGCCAAAGAACTAGAGTCTGCCCCAAGACTGGTCCCTGAGATAGGTCGTCTTGCCCACACTGAAGAGGCAACAAGTGCCAGAGTACCCTTTCGAGTTTTAAGAAGGGAGCCTGATGCTGAGAGAGCCAAGGCCCAGAACCTGTCATGAAGGAGAAACAACAGTCATGAGTGGGCCCAGACAGCGCCCAAGCAATGGGCACTTACAGCAGTATGTTTGGCTAGAATAGTGGGAAAGCTGCAAGTGCTCTCTTGAAAAGAGTTGTAATTGATTTTTCACAAGAGCTCTGCCTAAATTCAAGCCTAAGATTCCTCAGGCATTTTTTCTTCATAGCAGATTTACCTTATTCACAATCTTCCCTAATCCAAAGTATCTGAAGGAAGGAAGACTTCATTACCAGGACATTCAAAGGTCCCTGCAAATTTACATAGAGCAGCTTGCAGAGGTCAATGGATCACAGAGACTATTTATTTTGAACCAAGGCCACATGAGAAAACAATCAGACTCCAAAGCTACCGCCTCAAAGTGGACTAAGGTACTAAGCAGGAAAAAAGAAAGGAGTACTTGTGGCACCTTAGAGACTGACAAATTTATTTGAGCATAAGCTTTCGTGGGCTACAGCCCACTTCATCCGGTGCCACAAGTACTCCTGTTCTTTTTGCGGATACAGACTAACACGGCTGCGACTCTGAAACCTAAGCAGGAAAACTTACTTCATTATAGGGAAGATGTTACCAGAAACATTTAAAGCACACTTAGGCCTGGTCTACACTAACACCCCAATTCGATCTAAGGTACGCAATTTCAGCTACGTGAATAACGTAGCTGAAGTCGACATACCTTAGTTCGAACTTACCGCGGTTCAGACGCGGTCCACACGCGGCAGGCAGGCTCCCCCGTCGACTCCGTGGTACTCCTCTCGCTGAGGTGGAGTACTGCAGTCGACGGCGAGCACTTCCGGGATCGATTTATCGCGTCCAAACTGGACGCGATAAATCGAACCCGGAAGTTCGATTGCCAGCCGTCGAACTACCGCGGTAGTGTAGACCTGGCCAAAGTACGATTGTTATGGACAGAAAGTGAGGAATCTGTTTTTAATAGAGATTTGTAGGGCAGACAGACACCTGGGCACCAGCTTAAACCTTTGCCAAGCATTATAGGATAGATGTGCAGGCATCCATAGAGACAGCCTTTGACAGGAGAGTTTGGTAGGTGACTGTCAAATCCTCATCCCTCCTGTAGCTTTATGTGAGCTGCTTTGGGAGGTTTCAAGTATCCAGCATAGTACAGAAGACTAAAGAGGACATTTTTCCTCTCAGTTAATTTTCTTCCTTTAAGGTATTATATACTAGCCCAGATAATCTCCCGTGAAAAACAATGTCTTCTTTATGGTTCAAGGCAAGGGTAGTCAATAGGCAGACCTCAGGCCAAATCCAGGCCACCAGATGCTTTTGAACAAACCCTGAAATCTTTTTATTTACGTCTTATCTTTTTTTTTTTTCTGGAGTCTGGAGCTTGACTATACCTTGACCAAGAAATTTGGACCTTGACAAAAAAATAGAGTACCCCTGGTTCAAAGTTTAATGCAAAGTTTCTTTGGAAAATTCAAGTTCAGGTTATCACTGTATTAAAGTTCTTTACTGATTATCAAAGGATGGAGTCAGTTTGATTTCTTGGGAACTGCTTTGAAATAGTCAATTGCAGAAAGATGGTTAGACCTTTCTATAGAGAAGCATGATGTCATCAAAAGATTTAGTAATCTGTCTCCATCTGCTGTATGAGAAGATACATCACCCAAATAACTTAGACCAGTATAGAAGAGCTCAAAGAAATAAAATAAACAGGTAGGCAAAATTTCTGCTTTCCTTCATGTACAGTCAGTGTTTGCCTTGCTGAGATCCACAGCAATGACGTGTTTATATTTATATCTATATTTCATTGTGGGAGACTAATGTTCTGAGATGCCAGGACCCTTTATATGACTTCGTGTATGCAGTATAGCTCCTGAGGTTTCTATACAAACCATATATATATATTTATTTTTTTTTTTAACTTTTTTTCCTTTGTATAGGTAAAAATAGTGAGAAAGAGATACTGTTGTTCAAACATGCTGCTCTGGTGCATCTGTTGGTAACAGTTCGAGACCTCCTATTAATGTGTACCTTGGACACAGCATTAGGTTAGTTTTAACAATAAAAATGTTTTCTCTTTATTGTCATTGCCACTGGATGACAATTAATATACCATGAAATTCTACAATCCCTCGCTCATATTTTTGATTGTGTGGTGTAAGTAAACACTTATCAAGCCTTAACTTACAGCTTCTGAGAGTTGCCCCCGTCTGCCTGCCTATTTCTACATTCTTATTTAGGGTTGCCAACCCTCCCGGATTGCCTGGGAGTCTACCGGAATCAGCCTCAATCTCCTGGTGACTATTAAAAGCAATCAGGGAGATTTTAATAGGCCAAAAGTCTGGTTGGCAATGCAGTGGGGCTAAGACAGGCTCCCTACCTGCCCTGGCTCCGCGTGGCTCCTGGAAGTGGCTGGCATGTCCGGTTCCTAGGCACAGGGGCGGCCAAAGGGTCTCCGCACACTGCCTCTGCGCCCTGCCCCTAGTGCTGACTCCACAGCTCCCATGGGCTGGGAATCGCAGCCAATGGGAGCTGTGGGGGCAGTGCCCACAGGCAGGGGCAGTGCGCGGAGCCACCTAGTTGCCCCTGAACCTAGAAGCCGGACATGCCAGCCACTTCCAGGAGCTTCCTGAGGTAAGTGCCACCTGGCTGGAGCCAGCACCCCTCACTGCCTCCCACCCCTCAGCCCTGAGTCCCCTCCCACACCCAAACTCCCCCCCAGAGCTCGCACCCCTCATCCCCTCCCACACCCCAACCCCCTGTCCCAGCCCTGAGCCCCCTCCTGCACTCCGAACCCCTTAGCCCCAGCCCAGAGCCCCTTTCCACACTCTGAACCCCTCATTTCTGGTCCCATCCTGGAGCCCGCATCCCCAGCCGGAGCCTTCACCCCCTCCCACACCCCAACCCACTGCCCCAGCCTGGTGAAAGTGAGTGAGGGTGGGGGAGAGCGAGCAAAAGAGGAAGAGGAGATGGAGTGAGTGGGGGCATGACCTCAAAGAAGGGACAGGGCAAGGGTGTTTAGGTTTGTGCGATTAGAAAGTTGGCAACCCTTTACTCATTAAATGCCAATTCAATGCAAATCGTATTTCTTTACCATTAATACCTGACACATAGTTCATATCACCATTTATGGCACTGCACAGTTTGGGCAAGAAACTTCCATGGGAGTTGCACCCACTTACATCATGTCTGGATTTTGCTCAGTCTCCCTGAACATGGAATTTTGCATGTGAATCTTGGAGTTAGCTGGCAAACATATAAGAAGGACATATAGGCAGACAACTCCCTGCTGACTTTCTGAGACTTTGTGCATTGTTTATTATGCTGTGCATTTGGAATAATTTATACCTAAGAAATTAGTTTCCCATCTACTCCTTTGAGTTTCAGATATGAAGAGTGAGGCAGGTTCAAGCACAAATGTGAAATATTATTTAACACATTTGGCTCCTGTGTAAAGCTACATCAAAGACTAAAGGCTGAACTATAGCCCTTAAACTCAGAGATTATTCCATTTTTTAGTAATATGCAGATAAGGATGAGGATATAACAGTTCATCTGCTCCTAATCTCACACCTGAAGTCATAATTCCCTGTTTGTCACACATTCATTTCCACATCTACCTATTGTAATTTCACACATAGGTTTATCAGAATTTAGAGCATATATGATCTCTATTATGAAAAATTTACACTCTACAAAGTTATGACTTCATGTGGAGCATAACAGCAGGAGCAGATTAACTCTTAAAACGATTGTGTCTTCATTGAAATGCCTCTAGTAATAAATGATGGGGAAGAGGAATGCAGAATATAGAATATGTAAACAGAACTATCTCTACTCATAATGTTTTTCTAAGAGTTCTATGAGGTGTCAGCATATTTAAAGGTGAACTGCAAAAGAAATTTGAAAATTGAGCCAAGCACAGAAATACTGTATGTCCCCACCAGTCAGGCTGTGGTAGCATTCAGCACATAAGTAAGTGGAAACTAGTCATATATACATACATATTTTATTTTTATCTCTCAATTTCTTGGCCTGCTTTAGGTTTACTGTTGATTCACAGTATGTATCACACAGGGATGTTACAGGTAGCAGAAATATTTGAAATAATATGAGCCAACTAGCAGGGACTCAGATACGTCACATTTATCTTGTAAGCCACTTTTTAAAAAATAATTAAAAGATTAAACTTTGGAAAATGTGGCATATAAGAAAAAGCCTGATTTACCTTGAAGCTTCTCGGCTGGCTTAGTGTAACAGCTCAATTTTCTGGTATCTCAAGTTCCAGAATGCTACTTCCGATTTTAGATTTATTTATATGACAACTGGTTCCAAAAGTCTGGTTAGTGGGAGCATTCTGCACATATTTCTGTCTTTGGCTAAATTTTCAGCTTTCCTTTGCGAGTTGCCTTTATATGTAACTAAAATGTATGTGCAGATCAAATAGAAAATTGTCAAGATTTCTTTCTCTTTTTGCCAATGCTGAGTTTTTGGAATGTCAAATTTAAGTAATTATTCCTTGCTTTGGTTTTTAAACAGGGTATTTGTCCAAGGCAAAGGATATCTATACAAGCATCTTAGGTTCCTGTTTGGATAATATTTGGAGGCAGCTGGAGATTGTACAGTATAGCAGGCAGAAAAAGAATGAAATCAGTCCCAAAATAACACAGCTTCGGTGTCAGATGTTCAAGTGGGTGCAGAGTAATACAGATGAAGAGAATCATAAGGTTAACAATTTAAGCAAGTTCTTTAAACAATAAAAACTACTTTAGAGCAATAATTATAAAACTACCTTACTTAAATAAGAGCTGGCTTATGACAGAGGGATAGCTCAGTGGTTTGAGCAGTGGCTTGTTAAACCCAGGGTTGTGAGTTCAATCCTTGAGGGGGCCATTTAGGGATATGAGGCAAAAATCTGTTGGATGATTTAATTGGAGATTGGTCCTGCTTTGAGCAGGGGGTTGCAGGGCCGCCCAGAGGATTCAGAGGGCGTAGGGCAAAGCGGGGGGAGCGGACATACTCACCGGGCGGCGCTCCGAGTCTGCGGCGGGCCCTTCAGTCACTCCGCATCTTCAGTAGCACTGAAGGACCCGCTACCGAAGACCCGGAGCGACTGAAGGGCCCCCCGCTGCCAAAATGCCGCCGAAGACCCGGACTGCCGCCAGTAAAAAGGTGCCTCTAGCTGGGAAAGGGATTCTCGGCCAGGGCTCGCGGGGCCCCTGCGGGGCTTGGGGCAAATTGCCCCACTTGACACCCCCCGCTCTGGGGGGTTGGGCTAGATGATCTCCTGAGGTCCCTTCCAACCCTGAGATTCTATGACAGGAAATTCTATATTAGAACACTTATGAGTAAAGGATGGCGTGAAGCTGCACCACCTCAGGAATAGCCCAGGGATTCTCTGCTGCCTCCCCACTTGCTCCAAGGGTGAAGTAATTTACACAAGCTTGTTACTAGACACAGATTTCTCCTATGCCAACTCAGCTGTGCTGGCAGGTACCTTTAAGGCGGTGGTGGGCAGAGCCAAGGTGCTGCTCACTCTGCATATCTACCTGTGTACAGATACATCAATTAAATATGGACATGCAATTAGTCAGCCAATTGTATTGAAACAGCATTTGCACAAATAGGAAACAAGGACCCCATATGAACCCAAATGGTTTTGCTCTTGAATTAAGCACACATTGTTCCTTTGCTATCTTACATCATTTGTTGAAAATTACAGTATGACTTTAGCCACTAAAGTTCCAATCCCAGTCTCTGGCTGACAAACACACAAGGGTGTGGGTTGAAGTACAACATTGGTTTTAGACCACCATTGCATTCCTCTGCTCCTTGGCCACCTGGGCAGTAGGCCAATCGCCTGACATAAGTGAGAGCAGCCTTCAGGCTACTCTAATTTACACCAGTTGCAAATGGCCATAAAACAGCTGGGGATCACTGCAGGACAGGTTTGTGGGGCGTAAACAGAGAAATTGGACATAAATATCCAAAATGTGTTCTCCTGGCAGTACGGATATTTTTGGAGATATCATTCCTGTGTTTAAATCCCCCACAAAAAACAGAAGCAAAAACCAGGTTTATCACCAGATGATTTTATTTACATAATGCATAAGCAGCATAATACATAATAAAAGTGAGTAAGGCAAAAAAAAGATTGTGAAAAAATATTTTAGAATATTTTGAGTGGAACTTAAACTTGTAAAGGCTCTAGTTCAGTTACATTCAGAGGCAGTTTTTAGAGTGAGCCAGAACAGACAGAAGGAGTATTCCTGTATTAATAAGATGTGAAAGTTCTATTGCATAAGCCATTTACTGTTGTATCATATTAGCATTGGCTAATATGATGTGAAGCATGATAATCTGGTTATACCTTTATATCATATTAGTGAATTGCTATTGATGCAAGATATAATGAGAAATTTCCTTTATAAGCAAAAAGTTACAAATAGAACATGATGGATCTCATAGAAAAAAACCTTATGAACTTTACCATTCTTATTCCATCATCATTTGCATCCACGATTACACAGGAACAGCAGTATATTAGTACAACATGTAGGTCAGCACTTGATGTAGTAATGGTGAGACAACATTGGAAAACTAGGAAGAAAACAGATAAAATGTGTGTCCAGAGTTAGGCCCCTTGACTTTAATGGGAACTATTGGGTGCTCAGCTTTTGAGAATTAGGCCATTTATTTAGTCCTCTAAATGCAGATTTAAGTAACCCGCGACAACAGTATTGAACATCTAGATGCTCCCTTTACAGTCAGTGGAAGCTGTGTGGAGTTTGGAAACCAGGCCACTATTTTAAGCACCTAACTTTAAACATCTGTTTTTTAAAATGTTAGCCAAAGGGACAAATATTCAGAAACTATTTCTGCTATGACAGCATTTAGCACAGTGATAACATTTACACATGCAACTACCTCATTGGACCCATAAATCATGAAGTTGGACATGTAAATACTACCACTTGCTCCCACATTTAATTTTGGGTGCAGAATTGGGCCCACAAAAATGGAGGCAGTTGACGACCTCTTAAATATCAGGTCCATAAAGTGTACCCAGACAGTGCCTGTAAAATCTACTAGGATAATCCTGTGTAGATCATTGTCAAGTCTTTTTAGTTTATTCCTGACAATTATACTGAGCATATTGATAATATAGCACATGGTTCACTTTGGTTCATTTGGGTTGGGAGACAAGGTTGAATATCTCCTCCAATGAGAGAATCTTTTAAAAATGCCTGCCCTTGGGTGCAGTCTGATCCATTTGAAAGTAAAAGACTTTGGTCATCAGCAGTTTTAATGAGCCTCACACATAAGTTATTTAGTGAGTTCCATTATGGTCATGGAAATCTTTCCAATCAGCTTTTCAGTTTGGTGGTCCCATAATTTTAACAAGAAGCTCCCAGGATCCCCTAAAAGGCCCCTCCAGCACATTGTTGTAAGCAAAACTCCAAATATCTTCAATGTGAGTTTTACCTGTGAATGGAGTATGGGATTGGCCTGAAAATCTCCTCCCCATGATGGTCTACCTGGTGCTGCAGTAGGATTTCAGTTCTGTGACAGCAGTTTAAATACTGACTTTAAATAGTTTTTCTTTCTGTGTGTTAATACTCAGGTGTGAGATATTTTTCTAGAATATCTTTATTCCTGATACTGCATCTCCTTTCATAGTAATGCTCTTCTAATATCATCTTTTAGTAGTAAGCACACAATTATCCTTTAGGAAACATAGATTCATCAGACAGCAAAAAATTAATACTATATTTCATGTATTGTTCCAGGAAAAGTTGTGTAGACAGAAAAAAAAATTAAAATGTTAATTTCTTTTACTTGTCTTACGTCAGGTACTAATCATAACAAGAATGGACTCTGATCATGAAAAAGCTGCCATCACTAAAACCCTTAGTGCAGTAGAAGGTAAATGCTGCTCTTTTGTGCAAATCTTTAGAAGATGAGAAAGGTAACATCAAGACTGTGCTCCACTCCGCTTGCTTATATCTTTGTGTGCATCTCTCACAGATCCCACTCAAGTTCTCCCTCAAGGTCACTCACTAGATTGCTGTGAGGGGACCCAGCTGTTAGGTCCCTGAGTCTTTTAAGCCTCCCAGAGCCTGAATGGAGTCCAGCCACTGCCCCAATCTTTGGGGTCCCTAGGCTTATTTCAAGGCACAGACCCTTTGTCTACCGTCTTCTCCTGAGAAGTGGAACCTGCTACCCAGCTGCCTAGTCCCCGAGCTCAGTGCTGAGTTCAGCTGAAACACACCCTCTTCCAGAATCCCACCCCAAGGTGTAGCCTTCTGGTTTACCATTTAACTCTCTCAGGAGGCCTGAGGTAACACACACAGACACTTTGCCCAGAGTCTCACACAATACCTTTTACTAGCTCACCCATCCCTTGGGCGACCAGGTGGGCTCACAAATCAGGTAAGCGTTCCTGCCTCATTCAGGCCCTTACATGTTGAGCTGCTTCTCTCTCCTCTTGAGCTGGGAAAAAATGGCTAAAAACCCCAGACAGATCAGTACCTCCCTTTTTACAACTTGTAGCCCCTTTATCAGATGACCTATATCTTGCCAACTTCAACAGGTGATCATAGACTTGTTCCAGGTAAATTCATTGCTCAGGCAACCTCTCCCCTGCTAAACCAGTTCACCTGGTTGGAAGCCAGTCTCTTGTTAGAGCTATTCTCTTTTGATATTATTCCTATTCCATGTAACAGAAACAACTCTCCTTTGTTAATCTTTTGCCCCAAACCTTTAGAATTTTAGCCCAACATGGAAGCAAACAGACAATGGAGAAAGCAAAAGGCTGCACCTTCAAACTGGAGTTTGCTACTTGGTAAAGATATCTACAGAAACGCAGTTTTCATAGTAACACTTCATACTGTCAGCCAGAATTCATGTTTGTACACATAGATTTCCAAATTATCATAGCATCTCATCTTATACTGCCCCTCTTTCCGCACTTCTGTATAAAGTCCCCTTTTTGCTCCCATTGTCTCCTGCCACTCCTGTCTCCAGGTTTTCATTCCTGATACTTTTTATGATCAGAACAGCCTGTCAAGCACACCCCTCTCTTCCTTCAAATCCCTGTTTTTCACTTGATGTCTTTCTTGGTTGATCGCCTCACCAACAGCATATCTGCGCCACCTTGTGTTGAATTATTCTTTTGTGTTTTGTATTAAGATTAAATTGCATACTCTTTAGGACCAGGGACCCTGTGTCTAAAGTGTTTTATAAATGGTGGGTGTATTTGCAACACTATAAATAATGATAAATATTTGCTCTTTTATATCTATTTATTAAATGGCTTAGAAACATAGATCAATCTGATTGTCTCATCAACCTTCTGAGGACATTTATATTATACAAAATACATATTGTTCTCCATCCTCTGCAACCTGTTAGCTACATCTCTTTCTGTCATATTTTCTGTCATATATAAAATTAAAAAATGCCAGGGGAAAAAAACCCCACTGTTTTCCCAGTAGTTGTTCCTCGCTCATTTTAAGTTAATTAGAAACATTACTTAGCTAAGCAACATGACTGCTCTTGACTTACCAACAGGACTCCAGAATTTACCCCATCCTGGGCCTAAATATACAAGTCTTTCAGTATGGGCAGGGTCACAGCTTGTCAGCCTAGTGAAATGCGAGATTACTGATGACTGCCTCAGGTACAGCACTGTCATCCAGGGCTGTACCCCTGAGGTTATAATTTCCTGATTCAGCCCATGTTTGCTGTTTATCACTATATGTCAATTTACACCTGCAGAAGATCTGGTCCAGTCTCTTTAATTGATGTTTAATTCTTTTTAAACAGGTTTAAAAGCCATGGTTTTGAATCCTGAGAAAAGAGGAGTTTTGTTAGAGCACCATGTCATAAGCAGGTGAGTATAATTCATAATTTTTGTGGCCCAAATCTTACAATCTTTACTCAAAATTAACTTCAGAGACACTCCTGTTACTTTCAAAGTGAGTTTTGCCAAGGGCTTGGGTAAATATTTCATGATTTGGGCCTATGTGCTTCATTCTGCAAGGTGATGAACATTCTGGACCGATCCAAATCATCAATTAAGTATAGTAGTTAAGTAGTAACTCTGAGTAGTCCTACTCCAATCACTGATGTGAAGAATCCCCAGGGAAAAAAGGAGATATAGATGGGCATTGTCATAGTACTGATGATGCAACATTAAAAGCTAATTTACAAGACCCCCCAGTCCTTTCCAGCTGGGGTTGTAGAGACTCTCCTAACTTGTTAGCTCATGCCTGAAATGAAAGGTGATAGCAGGAAATATGAAGACCTAATGCAGATTACTGGAGGTGGTGAAGTATTTAATAAAAATAATTAAAAATTTCTGATACAGAAAGGATAAAATCAGTTTTTTAATTATCCTAAAACAACTGACACTTTCTATTCAAGTGAATACAAGTTTACAAGTTTTTATTTTGTACTGGGAGTAATCACGCTAAAAGATAATTTTCTGGATATTTCTCTTTCAGTTTGAGTAGATGTTCCTGTGTTATTGTACATAATCAGCACATTGGAGCTGACTTTCCATGGACTCTTTTCTCATTAGTGGTGGAGTATGATTATACAGAGAACTCCTGCTGGAATGAGCTGTGCAAAAATTTGAATATTACTTACATAACTTTTAAAACCACTCTTCCAGAAACACTTGTAGTGGGTAAGTAAATGCCTCCTAGAATTCAAATGAAAGGTTGGTCTTGCACCTGAAAAAGGGATTTGTATTCTCTAAAACAGGGGCGGGCAAACTTTTTGGCCTGAGGGCTGCATCGGGTTTCGTAAATTAAATGGAGGGCCGGTTAGGGGAGAGGGTCGTGGCCCTGCTCTCTCCTCCTATCTGCCCCCCCCCCGGGACTCCTGCCCCATCCAACCCCCCGTTCCCTGACGGGCCCTCTAGGACCCCTGCCCCATCCACACACCCCCACTCCCTGTCCCCTGACTGCCCCCGGGCCCCCGCCACCCCATCCAACCCCTCCTCTCATTCCTGATGGCCCCCCTGCCCCATCCAACCACCCCTTCTCCCTGTCCCCTGACTGCCCCTTGCCGCCCCATCCAGTCCCTCCCCTCCTTCCTGACTACCCTCGGGGACCCCTGCCCCCATTCAACCTCCTGTTTCCCCCCCGACTGCCCCGACCCCTATCCACACCCCCCCCCCCGACCACCACCCTGAACTCCCCTGGCCTCTATCCAACTCCCCCTGCTCCTGCCCCCTTACCGTGCTGTCTGGAGCACCGGTGGCTGGCGGCGCTACAGCCGTGCTGCCCAGCTGGAGCCAGGCCACGCCGCCACCACCACCACGCAGCACAGAGCACCGGGTCAAGATGGGCTCTGCAGCTGCGCTGCCCCAGGAGCTCACAGCCCCACCGCCCAGAGCATTGCGCCGGCGGCGGAGCAAGCGAGCTGAGGCTGCGGAGGGGCAGGAACAGCGGGGGAGAGGCCGGGGGCTAGCCTCCCGGGCCAGGAGCTCAGGGGCCAGGCAGGACGGTCCTGCGGGTTGGATGTGGCCTGCGGGCTGTAGTTTGCCCACCCCTGCTCTAAAATGTTTACAGGTATGTGCCCATGAAAGAGAGAGAGAATAATAATAATGGCTAAAGCTAAGCATCCTGAGCTAGATCATCTCTTGAATTATGTACATAATAGGAGTAAGATAGGAAGAAGTTTTGGACTTGAGCCCAATCCTGGAAAAGATGAGCAGTGAATCGCACTGAACTCCTGAGAGAACCTCTTTGACTACCTGGTAGTTCAGCATTGATAGAGGCTCTATCCAGTGTTCTTCATGCAGAGGGAGGCTTGCTTCAATGCTGGACAAAACTAGGAAGGGCCTTCTAGCATCTGAAATTTCTTGCACAAGAAGAAAATTCAACAGAAATATTTTTAATGGGGGTGTATATAGTCTACATTTTCAAAAAGATATGTCTATTTGAATACCTAAAACCATCACCTCGTATATTCCCTGTTTTGTGAAGCTGTTATATTATTTATCTTTAAATCTGAAAATGTTTCAGGTGAAAATTTTGGCTGCTTCCCTCTGGAGGTGCAGATTCCGTATGTGTTTCTGACATCTGAAGGACTTCTTAACGCACCGGAAATCCTTCAACTTCTAGAATCCAAGTAAGTGAAATTGACTTGATTACTGATGCATCTATCTGTCAATTTAATTAGGGGCCTCATTTGCTATGGGGCAATGTGGGCAGTTGCCCTTCCACCAGACTGGTGTTTGCCTCCTGATTTTTCATAGGTCTATATGCTCCCCTTTGGCCCTCCCCACTGACTTTTCAGAATATAATATAATCACATATAATGTTCTATATGCTGACACAACTTTTCTTCCCCTAGAATTTTTCTGAAATGAGGCCCCTTAATTTAATCAATTCTATTTATTTTAGGTTTTTCCAATGCACTTATCACCTTGTTGGTTGATGAGGCTATCTCTCCACTTAGCAATTACAGCGTTAGCATTATAGTGAAGACTACAAGACAAATCTGGCAATCACATTCATGGCTCATTGAAGTCAGTGGTGTTATATGGGTGTGAATCAGAGCAGAATTTGGCCTACTGATATTAATATTAGAGATGTTAATAGTGAAATTGTGGTTTTATTCCAAATTCTTATTTCAATCCTACAACTTTCTCCGAAAATCACCTTTGAGCTTAAATATGTCATGCTTGGGTGCTACCTAGGAGTAATTTTGTTTTAAAAACTTTTCATAAAAGTATTTTGCTTGTCTTTTTTTTTTTTTTTTTAATTACCAGGACTCCCTAAATATTAGACAAAAATGTCCCATTTTTCTGATGCTACCAATTTTTCTAATGCTATTTTAAAAGTTAGCAAAGTCAAAAACTGTTTTGGATGTTCAAACTTTGTATTCTCTCCCTGTGGCATGCAAAGAGTTTAGTCTCCTGAGGGCTGTTATAATTTGATCTAACTCTGGTTGTTGTCTTGGTGGGTGATTACTGGGGGAGGGAGGGTGTTAGTGGCCTGTGATAAACAGGAGGTCAGACTGTGTCATCTGGTGGTCCCTTCTACTTTAAACTCAAAAAAGAACTAGATAAATTCATGGAGGATAGGTCCATCAATGGCTATTAGCCAGGATGGGCAGGGATGGCATCCCTAGCCTCTGTTTGCCAGAAGCTGGGAATGAGTGACAGGGAATGGATCACTTGATGATTACCTGGTCATTCCCTCCGGCACTGACCACTGTCGGAATACAGGATACTGGGCTAGATGGACCTTTGGTCTGACCCAGTATGGCCGTTCTTATATTCTTATGTTCTTAAACCCTGTGACTCACCTTGGTATTTACACAATCCTGAATGAGTACGAGCACCTTCAATTTGTTGAAATACCTTTATAACAATAAGAAAATTCTGAAGATTTGAAAATAGTGCACGGCACAGGTGTGTTGTTATTCTCCTTAACAGAAACAATATCCATTTTATTTTCCCCAACAATCTAAAAGTTCACAGAGTAAACAGCACTTTTCATTATGGAAAAAAATTGTGAAGTGTGTTTCTGTGAAGAGTTTAATTACAATTTGCCCTTTTAAGCCTAGTGCTAGTGGTGGCCATCTTGCTGAAAAGCATTGCCAGGTTTGATACTAACTGTGAGGCACAATGAAGAAGAATGGCAAAACAGTTTCCAGCTTGTTCTTAATAACAATTTAACAGTCCAAAAACAACATTTTTAATTTCAGTATTTAAAAATTTAATAATTTACTTAATGAGTTCTTCTTAGCCCTGAGCTCTGGTTAGTGCTCAGCCTGACTGTGGCAGAGTAGCCAGAGACCCAGTCAGTGCTTTTTACCTAAATTTCCCTGGAATTGTGGGACCATCAAAGGGATCAGCAAAGAATTCTGGAATTTCACAGCAGTCTCACCAGTCACACACAGAATATCTGGACACACAAGTTTTTTCCACTGGATATCAGAAAAGGTGCACGTTTCTTGTGTGACTCAATGCTGGCAGAGTCAGTTTTAGCTCCCTTGTGTTTGCTGAGGATGATGCCCCATAGAGTGGCTCCCCCTCTAATCAACTGTGACTCCCTCAGAGCCCTGAGCATGTGGTGTTCATTCAAAGGGTCTTTCACTAACACAAGGAGTGGGGATGCTATTTTGGTTCACTTCCCTCACTCTGGCAATTTGAGGGCCTTAGAGGGGAATTTCACTCCTTTCAGTTTCTCTGTGCTGCACAGTGATAGAGAAGAGGGATATGGCCCTAAATGAATGGCTAATAATCAGGGTAGCATGTTGCTAAAATCTTTTTTAGTTGTCAGAAGCAATGTAATACAGCTATAGCTTCTCAACAAGAAGTTAAAAGGGTTGACTTTGCTACACTGCAAATTTCAACATCAGAATGTTTTGCTGACTTATAAATATCAATCTCTGCATTACATAATGTTGCTTCATGGAACTGCAACCTTCCGTGCAGACTGTGGCAGTACATCAAGGTAATATTAAATGAATGTGGAATTAAACCTAACAGAATAAATATTGAAATATTGAAGACTCACTATATTGATTTTTGACCTTTGAATATATGTCTTAATTGAAGTATAGTTGGGGGTTCACAAGAGATCAAGAAATTAAAAATCCATATAATTGGAGTTGAAGAATTAAATAAAAGGACTTCACAACAACATTCCTCTCCTTTTAGGAAGATTTCATCATTTCACTTAAATGAAATTTACTGACAGTTTGTGAATTCTATAGGTACAATATTACTTTTGTTGAGAGAAGTTGCAGTGAATCATTACAGCTTTTTGGAGGTACAGATCGATATGTCGTGATAACAATAGATGAACGCACTGCCATAATTATTGAGGTACAAAATTAGACCAACATGGTCAAATTCCGCACTCAGTTACATCTCTTAATTTTTCCTTGTAAACCAGTCTCTCCAGCCGTCTAGCCATTTTTGTTGTTCCTCTTAACCCCCTCCTTAGGATGACCGTTTCAGATCCTAATAGCTTCTCAACCCAGAAGTTATTCCAGAGTTGAATGAATCCAAAATTCTGTTTGTCATTGAGGCATTTACTGATTGATCTTGTATTGTATCTTCTTTCTACACTTATGCTTGATAACAGAATAGCTGCAAAGCTGACCTGCATTATCCCTGTCGTCAGTTCTGTTCTAAAATCCCTGAAGTGATTTTGATAATATTGAATATTTATTATTAAAGACCCCACACTTGAAAAGGGGGTTGTATAACTGAAAATATTTTGTGAACAATTCAAGTTATAGATGACTGTATCCTCTCATTGATATCTATGTTAATTCCTTTCATGTCAACAAGATATACATACTAAGATAGAGAAGAATTTGCCCTACGCTAAGGTTTGAACAACTGAACATGATCGTATAAACTTTGTTATTAAAATTCCTTACGTTTATTCATCTATTCAGTGTATGACTGAAACTCTACAGCTAGAAAAACTGATATTGCAAGATAAATTGAGTATAAAATCACATATTAATATTGAAAACAGAATACATCTACGCCCTCCTACAGCGTAGTATTTAGCCACATTGTACTTTATAAATCCAATACATCCATAGTGTAATACATATAGGTTGATTAAGGTAAAGATTAATAATAATAATTTGCACTTTTATAATTCTCAATAAGCCTAAGAACAAACCTGTGCAGTACATAAATATCCCCATTTTATAAAAGGGGAAACTGAGGCATGGTGAGGTCAAATGACTTGCCAAAGTTCACACAGAATAAAAGTCAGAATTGAATCTAGGTCTCCTGGCTTCCAGTCCAGTGAGCTTTATCCACCTAATAAGGCTCTTTCTCAACTGTAAAGTTTACATTACAGTGATGCACATTTTAAATCTTACAGCAGCCTTGTAAATATATTCACTTTTTTTACCTTTTTTGTGCTAATTTTGCGGTAGACTTTGGAAGAACTGAATTATGAGACATCCTCTGATAATATCATATTAAGACTGATGGCACTATCACTCCAATACAGTTGCTGTTGGATCATTTTGTATTCCAGAGAGAGACTGAATTCAGAGTAAGTTAAACATTCATTCTACTAGCATGGTGTTATAAAGCAGAGTTGTCACTATGCGAAATCATTTACTAGAACAAAGTAACGTAACAAAATGTTTAAATTGAATTGCAAGTCATGCACTTCTTTTACAACAATATAAATAGCTACATATTCAACTTCCAGTGTGTTTCCAATTTGCATTGGACTTTTCACTCAATTTCTGTGTTGCCACACTTTTATCTTGGGACTCAGTAAACTGATTTACATGGCAATTAATTTCTTGGTACCCTAAAGGGTCAAAACAGGGTATTTTGAGTTTTTAAATTATTTTTGGTCATGTTCAAGAGATGAACCATTCAGTTTTAAAAATAAATTTACTTTTCTAAGCAGTTAAGACTTAGATCAGACATCCTTTGATATTAAAAAAGTAAAAATCAACATATCTAGAGACAATACTGGCTTGACAACAATAACCATTGGAACCGTGCATTGTAATGGGCTAAAATAAACTAATGTCCTACAAGTGCATGTCCGTTAATCATGGCATCAGTATTATATCCTGCCTGGCAACTATGCATGTATTCTCCAAATCTGTCAATCATTGCCAACGACCCTTCTGCTTTTGCTCCAGAAGCTCTGCCTCATTCATAAGTAGTACCTGAATCTCTGATTCTGCTGTCTCATGTAACCACCATTTTCTTCCCATAAGCCTTCTCCTGTAAACTAATGGTAAGCAGTAAATTCTCCCTGCACTGGCTATTTTCTCTTTGCGCTCTTTCCCCCTTATTAACTGGGTTCCCTTCCAGTGCTGTTGCCTCATAGCACTGACTGTGCACTGAAGACTGACATCATTTTTCTCCCTCACAATGCAGCCTCTCCTGTTGAGTGATTCAGCTGCATTCCGGTTGCTCCTTGCAGAGCTATTTGTTAATTAATGTTCACAGAGCTTTAGTTAATATTCAGAATTCTGGTAGGTAAACTACATAGTTACAGAAGACTTTGTCTGTTGTTTTGAAAATATTATATGCAGCTATCAAATATCTCTAATGTATAGTGCAGGGGGGGATGCAACCTCCCGATTCATTAACTCTAGTGTAATTGCAGTATGAAACAAAACAAAAAATAAATACAAAGATAGCATGATCTATCATTTATATATTATTTCAACAATACTCTACTGGTAAGAACAAAATTAGGAAGCATAATATTGGATAATAATCCAATAAATACCCACAGCAACACCACCACTCTAATCTCAGCCCGTTGTAGAGGTGAGAACCCCAGAGGTAGGGGCGATGGCCTGGCGAGCAAGCCTGCCCCTCACTCACCCCACAGCAACAGCCCCATTCCTGTGGGTCTGGGCCTGGGCCTGGCGCCCCACTCCAGGTGTTATGACCAGGCACACAGGGTCACAGTGCCACTCAGCTTCGGCACCGTTAGTTTCATGATTTCTGTAGGTGTAATTGAACCCAAGCTAAAGCTGCCCCTTGTATAGAGTATTTATAGTGAGTATAATGTAACTCTGTTTCAGGTACAGCCTCACGGGAAAGACTCTGCATCATCTATCCTTAATTTATGCTGCTTTGGTTCCATTTTCACAGAAATCAGAAGACTTTGAAGTGAAGGTAATTTCTTTAGTAAAATTTCTTTTACCTTCAGTATCATAAAACCACCTCCGTGGCATTACCAAAACATTTGATAAAGCATGTACACAAAATCAAACGTATGAAATAGTTTAAATTTAAATACCTGATTAAAATGAGATGTAGGAGCCTGATCATTGCCATTGGATGAGGCTCGGATTGACTTCAATGGACATTGAATAGGGCTCAGACTAAGAATCAGAAATAGCTGTGTTTTACCACTAGAGGTCATAATACTGAGAAAATATCATAATTTTATCAATCCATTATTGTGTATGTGAACCCAGCTGTATTATCCTTTTTTGTAGTGTGGTGTGGCTTCTGCATTTTGACTCACAAGTCAAAGTTAATGTCACTATTTGTAAAAAGATACTAAAGAAGGTGATTTGCAAGATTCTTAAGAGACAAATCTATTGTTTTAAAAGAGGAAAAAAAGCTTTCTCTACTGGTGTCATTTCACCAGCAAACGTTATAATTGGGGCAGAGGGGTGTACTAAGTGTACTAAGAAGAAATTTTATCCATTGTGTACTAAGAAAGTTTATAAAAATGTTTTTTCTATAAAAATTTTACCGATATTTGGAGTAGTAGAAATTAAAAAAAGAGGGGAAAGTTTTTGTGATTCATCAAGTTGGTATGTGTGACTAGTTGATACAAATGCATAAAATAAATTGCAAAGATAAGGTGATTTACTGTCACATATACATTAAAATCTCCTGCAAAGTTATCCTAGTCAAATTAGCTGTAGGGAAATGACATATCTGAAAGTCAGTCTTTGTACAGTTCAATATGTGTGTTCAGTAATTCACTAGAAAATTACTTAGGCATTCAAAATGCTAAATATCCTGAATTCCTGGAACTTATTACACCTTTACTATAACAGATCAAATTTAGGCTTACAAGAATTACCTTTTTTGAAAGGGAGTATTGTTATAGCTACATACTTGATCATATCTAAAAGGTGTTGTAGTGGAATTAATTTTACCTACATAGAGTTTGAGTAATCCAGAGGCAGTGTGTGGTGCTGAAGATGGAGGCTACAGCCCTCCATATCACTTGCATGGAACAATTTTAATTACGATAGGCCTTTGGTTTCAGGACCATCTTTAAGTTTTCTAGTTTCTTGCCTGCTGCAGACCATTGTGAATACAACCTTTTACTCTTAAGTATAACCTTTGAGCTAACGTATTTTAAATTATTTTAGGTAGCTCTTGTGCCAGGGGTTGAAGAGACAGCATTGTTAATTCGTCAGATTGCTGACAACATTTTGATGTCTTCTAAAACAAATCCTCGTGAATGGTTGGACAGATCCTGGCTTTCTATCTTGCCATCTGAGGTTTGTTTGTCTTTGTGCTAAGTGTAGCAGTTCTCTTGCTGTTTGTAAGATATTTAAAATGCTAGGTTGTTTTCATTATTCCAGTTTTCTATTGTTTTGTTGTCAAATATAAACACAATGGGCCTGAATCACAATGGGCCTGAATACAGGCACAAGTAGCTGCAATTTTCATTCCCCAGTGCTTTCAGGGGCAGCTGTGCTGGAAGAGGGATTCATCCTCAGTGTTAAGAGGCAGTAGAATATCCCAGGGAGCAAATCAATCTGAATATCTCGGCTGGAAAAGACTCATCCTGTTTTAGGGTGACCAGATGTCCTGATTTTATAAGGACAGTCCCAATTTTTGGGTCTTTTTCTTATATAGGCTCCTATTACCGCTCACCCCCATCCCAATTTTTCACATTTGCTGTCTGGTCACCCTATCCTGTGTATTGTGACACTATAATCCTGTGCACCAAATTCTAAAAGCTAAATAAACTGGGACAGATTACAGAACAATGGCCGAATCCTGCAGGGTTCTGAACACTGATTCCAAGCCAACATAGCAGTTAAGCGCATGCAAGTATGTAGTTTATCCCATTAAAGTCAATGGGATTAGTCTCGTGCTTGCAGTATTGAGCCCAAGATAGTAAACCTTTGTTTATTTACTCATTGGATAATTGATGTATAGATATTTACATGCTGGATGAGCCTGTCTGCATGGGGAAGTGAGATGACAAGATGGGAAGGGAGCTGAGCCCCTGCAGCCGAGGGAGGCTCCCCTATCAGGTGGCTCCTTGCCAGGTAGTGCAGTGTGTAGTGGGGGCATGATGGGCAGGGGAGCTGGGTGATAGTCCCCATCTGCTTTCCCTGCCGGGCAGAGCCGCCTCCTGACTCCAGCCCTTCAGCGCGGCCCATCTACTTCTGCTGAGTTGGGGAGCAAGATGGGCAGGCAGCTGGATCCTGGCAGCCCAGACCTCCCAACTGCTGCCTCCCGTGAGTACCGTGTATCCCTCGCTTCCCCCTAAATTCCCAGAAATTTTTAAGACAAATAAAACCTGAAAACAAAGGGCCTTATGTAGAGTACAACACACAGCTTGGGCAGTTTCCCTTGAACTTGGGGGGGGGGGGGGAAACTATTCTAACCTGAGAGTAAACATGTGACTTTTTAGGTCCAAAGTAAGTTTTTTAGAAAAGTTTGGGTTGTGTGTTGAAAATCCAGATTAAATGGATCATTTTTGTCAACCTTAGTTATAGAGCAGTTACTTTCATCTTCCTATACACCCTTCTTACCATACAGTTGTGCATAATTTGTCCCCCCCAGAAAGATATTCTATTTATAGATGTTTAGGTGGTGTATACAAGGCCTACCTGCTAGGAATTGTGGTTCTGTGACAGATTCTGTGCCCAGAGATTATATAAAGATGGTATTCTCTTTACCTTCTAATAACAGAGCAAGCTGAATGTCCCAAATGGATCATTTCGGAAGCTGACAGTGACTTTTTTTCCCCCAGGCAGAGAAGTGCTTGCTTACTTTTCCATGTATAAACCCTCTAGTAGCTCAGCTCCTGTTAAAGAAGGGGTCTTCACTGAAGTGGCTGTTGTTGGCAACTTTTGACCAACTTCAGGAACTCCTGCCTGAGGTTCCAGAAAAAGTTTTAAAGGTTGGGCATAGTGAATTTATATATTTTACTAGCAGTCCAGCTGTCTGTGTAATAAATAAGGCTTTACAGAATGCTTTCTGAGGTTATATGTTTATATTTCCTAATATAATTTTAAAAACTAATCAGATAACTAAGTT